AAGCAGTGGTATCAACGCAGAGTACTGCGGAAATATTGGAGGTAGCGGGTCATATACGATCAACGTCTATGGCTATACAGACCGCGAGCTTGGCAGCATCATAGAAGACAAGGTTAACGAATTGTCTAACAGGTCAAGATTAAGGAGTGGGGTCTGATGGCACCAGAGGAAAGCGCAGAATGGGGGATAAGGGTGGTTGGAGATCCTTACAAGGATATTTATTTTAAAATTTCAATGGGTGACGGTAAAATTCTCATTAACGGAGAAGGGGGTGATGTCTACAGATTCGATGAATCCGCAAATTGGAAATTCAAACTTATACCGACAAACAGAGGCTCTCCCGCAGAAATGACCTTTACAAATGACAACGGGGAGATTGTTAAAGTGGACATTGTGCCAAACGATCCAGATTTTGGGGTTGTCAAATACGCAATGGCATATTTTGTGAACAGGGAACCCGTAGATCCGTATGATAAGTGGTGGTATGTGGATTTCGGCCACGAGTATGATTTAAGTGAAATAAGAGGCGGAACCGACGAAGAGGGGCAGGAATACGGTGTCTTTTTCACAATTATGGAAGAGGGTAGACCGGATCCCAAATATTGTGTGTTCGATTTCAAAGACGGATTTGACGGTACAATTACAATAGATGGTGCGGAGGCGCGTACGGCTTATTTCGAGTGGCCGTTCAACCACTGGAAATTTAAGAGAGTGGAAGTCGAGAAAAGCCATGTCAGAATGGAGTTTAATTACGAATACAACGGCGTGAGTAAAACAGTCATTGTCGCCGCCGAATGCACCGCACAGGACACATACATGAAAACGGACGGTGTCCTGGCTGATGGGTCGGGAACAACAGAGATTGTGGTTAACCAGGAATACATTTTGTCGGACTTTCTGTTGAACGACTCCAATGGCGGTTTCAGGTTCTATGGGGAATATGTCCCTCCCGAAAAAGAGGATTTCGGACCGTTCCCGATTATATTTTACGATCCCGATAAAAATACTCTGTATCGCGATTTGAACAATCAGATTAAAGTGTTCGACTGGACGGAACCGCGTCTCGAATACAAAGGAGAAATGCATGCACCATCGGAGTTCAAATGGAGGAAATATCAGAACTCGTATTTCATCGAGAAAGAAACACCCACGGTTACTCTCGACCGTGTCGCCAACATATTCTATATGTGTCCCGATTTCGGCCCTATGCCCACGGACGATATGCGTATGATCATTTATTCGGAACAATACGGTAATCTGGATTTGGGACATATACAGTCAATTACCGACAAATACGACGCGAGTCTGTCTGCCATTCCGATTGTCGTCTATGGCTTTACCAAAGGGTTCTGCATGGATTTGGGAACAAAACGCAATATCTCCGTCAAGGGTATAAGATCCCAACCGGAGTTCCCCGACGATAATTCCGGTGATAGCCGTGATTGGTCGAACTCCAAATGGCAACGCCAATTAAAAGCGTTTATGGACAGGTGGCAGATGAGAACAAACGGCATACACTTGTACCAATATCTACCTGGTGCGGCATCGATTACGGGTAAAATGGATGAGTGTTATCCGAACATTAATCCAGCGATACCCGAAGAGGGGAAGGGATTTGAATATTGGGTCAATGCGTATATTCTCAACTCTTCCAACGACTACAAGCCCGATTACCTCAACCACATAGAGTACTCCATCTCATTCCAGGTGGGAACAATCTATCCCAAACCCGTGCCATATAACTCCACGAAAGTGAGATTTAAGATATTCGACAGAGACGATGTCAATGTCTATGTCGATTATCCGTTATATTCCACGGTGCCAATGCCATACTGTCGGAAAGTACTCTCGGATGCTGCGGGCGAAAACTCATTGTTCGCATATTGGACAGTTCAGGGCGATAAATCCGGCAGACAATATCATCCCGGAGAATCCGTCTTTATAGACTCAAAAGAATTTGTGGTCGAAGCGCACTTTTGGGTTGGAAGATATATTATTTTCAAAGACAGAGACGGTGTTATCTCAAAGGACATGTTCCTGGTGAACGAATTATACACTATGTTCCTTATCGGAGGGGGCGGGATGGGGGGTCTGGGTCAAGTTTCGACCGATAAGTCAGAGGGTATGCTTGGTGTCGGCGGTGGCGGTGGAGGCGCAGGAGGTTTTGTGATTTGGACATTCAGATACGGAACGGATGTGACGAATGATATAACATACCATTGCGGACAGGGTGGTCAATTCTTTGGTGAATCGGGTGAAACAACCTCCATAAGAACAGGCGACAGGTTCATTGAGGCATTTGGTGGCGGCGGTGGCGGAACAGAAAGTTCCGGTTCGGAAGGAGGACCTGGTGGGACTGGCGGTAGAGGAGACGGACACGGCACGCCTGTCGATATTGGACAGGGCAGTGACGGTGGCAAGGGTGGCGGAGCCGTTTACGAATTCCCCGTAACGTGGAAAGTTTTTGATGGTGAAGATGGTAAAAAATTCTCCAGATGCAATTATCCGGGATATAAAGGAACGTGTTCGGTTGGAGGGGCTGGGGAGCCGAGTGCCGGTGGCGGCGGTGGCGGTGGCGCGCCGTTTTTTTATAACAAATACCTTGTTGGACACGGCGGTCATGGCGCAACCGCCAGACAGGAAGTACTGGATGGAGATGGGACTAACGGTGGTGGCGGTGGTGGAGGTACAATGATGCCGATTCAACACCAAACAGGACCATTCCCTGGTGGTGGCGGGTACGTAGCCCTATTCGGCAAATTCAAGGACTCGATAATATGACAAAGACAACTGCGGAGTTATGGACAAAGGACAATCAGACACGTATCTGCGGTCTTGGAATGATCAAAAGTATACAGGACAATATGTCCGCGTCGAACATTACCGTTCCTATAGTGACATACACTGCCGAGAACACATTCACTATGGACATCAAAGGAACGGAGTCCATATCCATATCTTTTGAACGCACAAACGATACCAACGACGGCAATTTCGTGAACGATCCAAGTGTTCCGGGCGGAACACGCAAAATGAACAATGCGGAATGGATTTCTATTTTAAGAGCGCAGATAGACCAATGGCAGGCAAAACACGATGGATATATCTTAAAGTATTACGAAGACCCCGAAGACCCCGAATATACGGGCAATCTCGCACCGATTGTGCAGAGTGGGTACATTAAGTCGTTTTCAACGAATTTTGTGTGCGGAAAACCCGAATACATAAGCGGCACGTTGGTGTTCCAGCCGGGCTCAATCAGAGCCAAAAACGGTTCCGTGACAACAAACGGGGAAGAAATCTCGATGAAAGGATACGGTCAGAGTGTTCCCATGAAAGAGGTGAATATCTGTATGACCTCTTCCGATCAAACTGCGATATATCCTTTGCATACGGTTATTTTTGATGAAAAACACGATAAAGAAATAGACACATTATCGTGTGTATCATCGTATGACTACACATGCGGCCCTCTCGACCCGTTCCCGTATATGAAAATCACATTGTCCAAAAAGAGAATGATGACAATAGCCCCGGACCTTGTCAACGATGTGGTTGCGGGAAAGAATATCATTTACTTCAATGCGTGCGGAAACGGAACAATGATTGTCACCAAATGTTCGTTGAACAACAGCAATTATACGCTGACCGCATACGCGCCCGAAGAGGTGTACAAGGGGATTCAGATCGGTGAGGAAATAAATCAGTCTAAAAAACCCGCATATATTATCCGCGAACTTTTAAACAGACAGATTCCCGTAGGGACATATAATCTCAATTACGGTAACGATAAAATCATTTTCAACCTAAAAGGGGTTAATCCCGATTCGATTGATTGGGGTGGAGATATATCATTTCCTCCGACAAGTACGATATGGCATGTGATAACCGTATGCGCAATCAGACTTGGCTGTACGGCTTGGTTTATGAACGGTTTTGCGTACTTTGTCGATATTCCTGCAAAACCCAATGATATGATTATCAGTCAGGATATTGAACATGGTTGGCAGAACTGCCACATTAAGAGTCTTACCAACATCACCTATCTCAATGCGGTTCCCGGCATACCAGAAGAGGGAACGCCGCAACATTATTTCTGTGAGTCCGTACAGGGCACTCCGAAATTGGGTGACGAAGGAAACGATGCGTTTGCGAATATTGTGAAGGTCGGTTATACCGATGGGGATAATAATGGCGAGGTTTCGACAAATGTCAACAAAAAGGGAGGGGTCTATGAGTATATCAGAAAATCATATAATGCTCACGGATCCAGATCAAACGACACATTGTATATACCGGAGATAAGAAGCAGAGATGTCGCACAGGCGATTGCGGATCGTTATCCCGTAATCACAGCCGATCCTCAACAGTCCATCACATTCACTTTGTCGGAAACAACGCCCGACGGAACAGAATGGCGCAGTTATTTCGCACCATTGACATACCTCACCAAGATAGTGGATTTCAACACCGACACGATTGTCGATGATTTAAGTTCGTATTTTGTCCAAGACGGAGATAGGAAGGTTAAGGAAGAGATACCGTTCAAGTTATTCCTTGCATCAATGACCCGCAAATTCCCCGATTTCTCTTCCGAGTATACATTCGGCCGTCTTAAGAATGCGGATTTAACCCAAACTACCAGTAACATATTGAGTGCAATGGGAAAATGACAGTTTTAAATATAGTCTTAAATATCTTACAATCATGTCAACGCGTGGCATTTATTTCAAAACAATGGGGGTGTTTCCGTGACTCTGGTTTGGTTGAACAACAGAGGAAATCATTGGCAGGGGATTGGCGACCCCAACACCATAGATGGAGACGGTGCGAAAATCACGTCTCCGAAAGCGGGAGACACATATCTTGACATCGCAACCAAAAATCTCTATACTTTCGACCCGGAAGGCTATCCCGATATGTGGTTCATAATAAACGGAGAGCCGACACCGACGGATATGGTGAGATTATCCATTGTATTGACAAACGGTGTATCGGCGTCCGCACAGGCTCCCATAAACTCCGTAAAAGCAATCACATTAAGACCGAATGAAGGGTACACATATCCTAAAACATTGGAAGTCAGCCCATCGTCTGCGTTGCAGAGTTATGATAAGACGACCGGTAAGGTCATAATACAAATGACATCCGATGTTACAATACACGGAGAATGCGTTATAGACATTCCGCACACTTATGAAGAACTGGAGGATTTCTCGCACACCGAACTGTCGGAATATACACATGCACAGTTGGGTGGCGAAACTGACAAGGTAAAGGTGATACAATGAGCACACAGACAAGCGTATACAAACTGGATAAACCTGCGAAGAGTGAAAAGTATAATCTCGATGTGCAGAACGGCAATATGGACAAGATTGAGAAAGCCCTTCTCGAAAGATGCAGAGTTTCCGACGGACTCCCAACAACAGTGGGTATCGAGGGAGATCGCTGTTTTGATAAGACCGGTAAGTGCGAATATATCGTCCAGGATGGCATGTGGACACGCATGCCAAGTGTGAAAGTGGTGGACAAACTTCCCGAAACCGCGGGAGAGGGAGAGATTTTCTTCCTGTACGACAGTGAATAAGGGGGCTTTCAATGGGCTTTACACCAGACGGTGGAATCTGTTGGGAGAAGGACACCGGTTCCAAAACTCTCCATATAAGGGCGATGGTGAGCCCTGAAAGTGGGTATGTTGCCGGACAGATGAAGGATTATAAGACCACAACGACATATGACCCTCCGTGGGGCGTATTGTCCGAAGAGGGCTGGACACTCATTATCGACGATGATGTGAAAAAGATCGGGTCTTATGCATTTGCCGGATGTTCGGGCATTACAAAAATGACGCTTTCAAACAATCTGATGACCATTGGTGCCAATGCGTTTGAAAGTTGTTCAAAATTAACGGAAATAGTTATACCTTCAAAGGTTATCGCGATAGATTCGAGTGCATTTTCGGGATGCTATGGTGTTACAAAAATCACATTCGAGTGTGCGAGGCTATTGTCTTTCAGCAATATGTCTATGCGTCTTGGTACGAAATCCCATAAAGTAACCTGTGAATGTTATTCTCCGAATAATTGGGCGGAACAGAAAGTCCCCGGCGTCAGTGACAGTAATACCACATGGGCTTTCCACGAATTGGCTCTGTCGTTCCAGATAAGCGGAGGTATCGAATGGGTGATTGATGAGGATAATAAAAAACTCATAATCAGACCTGCCGAAACTCCTGAAAGCGGTTTTACAAAAGGTGTGATGAAAGATTTCAGTACCGGCTCTGCGGCGCCTTGGGGTGAAATCAAGGATGAAGGTTATGCATTGTCTGTCGAAAGCGGCGTTACGCATATAGGAGAGGATGCATTCCTTAAATGTTCGGGATTGTCCAACAACGTGGTTTTGCCGGATAGTTTAGAATCAATCGGGAGAAGTGCGTTTTCGCAGACTTCAATTACGGGCATTACTGTACCTGCGGGAGTCACAAAGATTGATACGAACACATTTATATTCTGTAGAAAACTTGTGGAGGTGGCCCTTCCTGATGAGTTGGAATCAATAGGAGGGGGCGCATTCCAAGAGTGCTCATCATTGAAAAATGTGAATTTCGGCATGTTGAGCGGAGTCAAAACAATAGGGACATCGGCATTTTCGGGATGCACAAGTTTGGAACAGTTCGTTTTCCCAGTAAATGTCACTGCCGTAAGTGATTATTTATTTAGCCGTTGTACAAGTCTGCGTCGTGTAACACTTGGTCAGAATATCACTTCGATAGGGTCTTTTGCGTTTGAGGGGTGTTCCAAGATCACATCCGAAAAGATAAAACTCCCTGCCGGACTCACCACAATAAAATCGTTTGCGTTTTCGGACTGTATAAGGATCGAAGAGATGGATATTCCGGACGGTGTAACGGAAATATCCACAGGCACATTCAGAAATTGTGCGTCTCTTAAGAAAATAACCTTAAATGCAAATATCTCAACTATCAATGAAACTGCATTTATGGGGTGTTCGTCACTCAAGGAGATATATCTGCCTGAAAAGGTTGTCAGTATAGGTGAGGAAGCATTCCTTGGTTGTACCGAACTTGAAAGAGTGGGTTTGTCCGCAGAGCTTCAGTCGATAGGCGAATCGTCTTTCCAGAACTGCAAAAAACTTGCAGAGATAACAATTCCCGCGAAAGTGAATAGTATCGACAAACAGGCGTTCTATGACTGTAAGGGATTGACCGATATTACTTTCATCGGGAATAAGCCGGACACTATCGGGAGTCTGTCGTTCGCATTGAATAACGACCTCACCAACAGGGTCGAATCTCCGGACAACTGGGCCAAAGGTGTTATCGACACCGAAGAGATAAGTGGTACGACAAAATGGTATTTCCGCAACTCTAATTGTGGTTTGTACGCATATGTAGGCAACGCCTTCAAAAAAGGTAAAATGTACAGATACTCCGATGGACAGTTCAAGAGGATCTACGCCAACGCATATGTCCACAATAAATGGGAAAAAGAATAATTACGGGGGCAACCCCATTTAACATTTTTATAGTAGTTGTTGTATCTATGACCAGGAGTCCGGAACGTTATTCCCATTCATTTTTAGACCTACGGACTTCTTCGCCCTGACAGACGGCGGTCTTGGAAGGTCTGTCACAGTATAAAATAACGCACCTAATCCTTTAAATACCCTTATTTCAATTAAAGAATAGTGTCGTCGTAAAGAAAAACTTAGAATAAGAGCGATGGCGTGCGACTGCGTGAAAACTACGAGGAGATGCACAGGATATGACGAGTGAACAGGAAGAGATTGATATGCCGGAAGAGATAAAGAAGACCCATTTGTGTCCCTATGGCCCCGATCAGTGCCCCAAGGTGACCGAGTTAAAGCGTGAACTTGAAAAAGTGAGCAACAGGCTGTCAATGGTGATTATTATTTTAATCGCCAGTTATAGTCAGGAGACTCTTGCCCTGGCGGCATCGGCGGGACTCCTGTAAGCACAACAGCACCAAACATATTAAGGGGGGAGGGGGGCAACCCCTTTTAACATTTTTATATCAGTTTTTGTATCCATAATCTGGAGTCATAATGAAAGTTGAACTTCTGGCGTGTACACCTAATGCGGATGCCGTCTGTGCCGCCGCAGGCAAATCATGTTATTCGGACAGACCGGCACACAATCTCGTCGAAGACGGATCTCCGGAAAAGGTACTGAAAAAAATCGTTGATATGGGGCACCACTCGGTCGTCGAACACGCAGTGTTCACCTTTTCCGTCGAAGGTGTTTCAAGATCTCTTACGCACCAGTTAGTAAGACACAGAATTGCCTCCTTTTCACAGCAGAGTCAAAGATATGTTCCCCTCAACGAACCAACTTATGTCATTCCCGACACTGTGAGAAACGACCCTGAACTGAAGAAACTGTACGAAGAAACTATGAACAACATATGGGGCGCGTACAGAAAACTCGGTGAAAAGATTCCCGCAGAGGATGCAAGGTACGTTCTCCCCAACGGATGCACCACGAACATCACGATTACGATGAACGCGAGGGAACTTCTCCATTTCTTCTCCCTAAGATGTTGCAACCGTGCACAGTGGGAGATTAGGGAGATGGCCAATCGGATGTTAGCGATATGCCGGGAAAAATCTCCCACTATCTTTGCCGAGGCGGGACCCGCATGTGTCAGGGGAACGTGTCCCGAAGGCATGAAGACCTGCGGAAAGCCGAGAAAGATCATTTAGATTGGAGACAGAGGGTTCTCTATACCTTTTAAATATCAGTAGTTCAATTCAACGGTATCCTTTTGGGGACTGGGGGGATCGACGGATTTGTGTCTCTTTAGCCGTCGTAAAAGTGCGGGTCTTGTTTCCACTCGCATCGGGTGTCATACAGTCCTACACTAACAAAAAGGAGGACAAAAAATGACAAAATATTCAATAGAGTATATCAAACAATTAGGCAAAGAAAGAAGTGATTCAAGCCTGAATACACTTTTTAATATCTATTTCAATGAAGAAATGGATATTGAATTAAAAAAGGAAGTCATATCCTCAATCGGTCGCCAATCAGATAAGGATAAAATTTACGAATTTATGAAAGAACAGGCGTTCGATAAGAATGTGGTGATGGAATTGGTTTATCAAATGTTCAGAACATGTCTGCGTAATTGTAAAGACGATAGAAGATTTGAGGAGTTGAGAAAAAAAATAATCGCTCATTATGACAATGAGGTTATTGTAAAGATGAACGATTATTATTTTCATAAAGGGGAAAAAAGAGAAAAAGGAAAGCGCGTCGACAAATCAACATTATTGATAGGAGATACAGAAAAAACTTTATCGAGATTAGATTACAATTCCGTGCAGTTGATATTTACATCGCCCCCATATTATAATGCGAGGGAGTATTCCGACTATCATTCATATAAAGAATATCTGAATAAAATGAAGACTATCTTTACTGAATGCAATAGAGTACTTGAAGATGGGAGATTTATCGTTATCAATGTATCGCCCGTAATCGCAAAAAGACCCGGAAGGGAATTTGAAAGTATAAGGTATCCGATCCACTTTGATTTTCATAAAATACTTGAAGAATCCGGTTTCTATTTTGTAGATGAAATTATCTGGATTAAACCCGAACCTTCTGTTTGTAATCGTGTAGGTGGTTACGAACAATCGAGAACACCACTTGGATATAAACCGAATTGCATAACAGAAAGTGTAATGGTGTATAGGAAAAAATGTAACTTCTTATTAGATAAAAATATCGGTGATTATAAAAACAATTTTGACAGACATGAAAATGAAAAAATTGACAGAACAAATTGCTGGGAAATCGCGCCCAAATCAGATGCAAATCACCCTGCCGTATTCCCAGATGAATTATGCAGACGCGTGTTGAAATATTACTCTTTTGAAAATGATGTTGTTTTAGATCCGTTTGCCGGTTCGGGAACATTTGGGAGGGTTGCAATAAAAATGGGAAGAGTGCCAATCCTGTGCGAAATTAATGAAAAATATGCTGAATTAATCAAACAATATGTTGAAGTGATAATATGACCTAACTTTTTAATATCAAAATGAGATATACCATTGCTGTCAGGGGACAGACGGCATTGGGGGTTTCCTTATTCTTTCGTTTTCCTCCAAGAGCGATAGAGCCCGAAAGTTGTCAATCTGTCATGTCCCCACTTTAAAATTTAAATATGGATATATGGATAACCAAATACGAGATATGACGATACTAACATATAATGTGAAACATTGTACAGATTTGTCATCTGATTTAGAAATGGCAAAACGTGTCGCTATATTTGGTATAAAAAATAATTGCAATTCACCAAAACAAGTGCGCCATTTTGGTATGAAGGCAGTCCTTTCAAATGCAATATTGAGAAAATATGTTCGTTGTAAGACAATAAAAGAAGTTAATAATATTGTAATCCCTGTGAACAATCAGTCTTTCAAATATAATGGTTCGGAAGTGTATATTGTTCCATTGAAAATGCACATTCCATTTGTTAAAGAGAATATTACGAATATAAAATACATAGAATTGGATAAGGAGTATGCGCATATTGTTTGTGAAGTTCCCGATAAGCCCACTATCCATACCACGACTTTTTTAGGTGTTGATAGGAACACAACAGGTCATATCGCAGTATGTTCTAATCCCGATACCCATAAAGTAATCAAACTTGGTAAAGAATGTCGGCATGTTCATAAAAAATATTCATCGTTGAGAAGAAAAGCACAAAAGGAGGGTGCGAAAAAAAACAGACATGAATTTAGAAACGTAAGGAAATTGAAACACAGAGAATCTAATATCATAAAAAACATAAACCATCAGGTCAGCAGAAAAATTGTCGATACTGCAATAAAAGACAATGCAACAATCGTTCTGGAAGACTTGAAATCTATTCGGAATACACCTAAATCGAATAGAAGGTTCAGACATTCCTTAAACTCTTGGTCGTTCTATCAGTTGCAGACACAGATAGAATATAAAGCCAAGTTGCAAGGGATACCCGTTATGTATGTCGAACCCACATATACTTCACAATTATGCAGTAAATGTGGATCTCTTGGCAACCGTAACAGGAAGGTGTTTAAGTGTCCCGTGTGCGGACACGCAGACCACGCAGATGCCAATGCTGGATTCAACATAGCACTTCGTGGTCGCTTGATGTCAGACAGTGATGGCATCAAAGGGATCACCAGTAACCCTAATGGAGCAATGATATAATGATTGGTCAAAATATTAACTTCATGAACAATTCATCTGCTGATGATAAAGTATGCTGGGACCTGGCGGCTATCGACGATACGTTTTTGCAGAAAGTTCATTTTAAGTTTGATCCGCAGACCCGTCTTTTGACACTCGTCAGACCCGACAACTGCAAATGCGACAGGTGGGTTTCCACCACGGTTGACGGCAACGGCACGATATTCATTCTGGACAATCCACCCGATGGGTTCGATGATATTTGGTTCGAGTTCGCAGTATCTGTAGTAAGACCGGACCACACCACATTCCGTCCACGCGGAGGGCTGGTCAGGGACAGATTTTCGGATTACTCATATTATCTTCTTGAGAACTATGTCGTCGCGGCGGCTTTCAGACTCCGCAAACTGCCTGTTCAGTTGATGATGCGCATTAACAACACGGTGATATGCAGTCGCAACACAATCAGTCTGGAAGTATCCAGAGGCATAAACGCACTCGGCACCGTCCGTGAGAATTACGCAGACCTTATGTTCAAGACCGATACTTGGGATTTCAGCGAGACCAGAGTGTATCACAAGGGTTCCGTTGTCACCTATGCCAACGAGATTTGGATTTCCACTGTCGATAACAATGTTGCGAACATTCCGTCAAGGAAATCTCTGTTCTGGAGACTTCCGGGTGACGAGAACAACATGAAGTTCAGACCCGTGTCAATATCATTCGAGTGCCACGAGACAGAGAAAGAAACGCATTGGGTCATCGATCACGGTCTCAACACAAGAAACTTTGTCTGGTCGATAAGGCAGGAGGGAACAAACGAGTGCCCGTACTGTTATGCATTGGTCACGGCGGTCAATAGGGACAGATTAACAATCGACTTCTCATCGCCCGTGATAGGCAAATATGTCATCAATGTTATTCCGTGCAAGGAAACGACCGCATACCGTCAGCATATCGACACCGTGAGAGAACTAACCGACCACATTCACTTTGTTTCGCAGATTTATCTGCCGAGATATGTGCAGACTTATGATTTGACTGTTACGGAAAGCCGCACACCGAATGAACTTCACCCTCTGATAATGCAGAACCCCGAAGTCGGATATAATGCGACGGACGTGTATTTCTGGAACGGTGAAAGCACGGCGGTAAAAAGTGTGGATGCGATATTCATATCGCCCGATGACACAATGGTGCATTATTTCTCGAACACTGGGTACACAACCCCGATAGAGATACCGAAAACAACCGGATTAAGGTACATGATTCAGATGTTCGACACTGAGACGGACGAGATGGTGTTCGGTGATGTTAACCAGGATGTTTCAAAAATAACAATCAGATTAAGCATGAGTACTCTGCGTTGATACCACTGCTTTGAGTGTACGGAAGTTATTCCGTTCCCGGTCGAAGATGCGGACTGGATATACAGAATCGGGACAGGAAACGGATCTAAATATGACGGTCCCGTGGCGGTTCAATGCATCGGCAGTGACGGAAATGTTATGTTCCCGTCATTGTATGTTAGCGACACCGAGATAGCCGCCAGGTTCGGCGAAATGGTCAGCGGTTATATGCTGATATGCGGAAAAGAGGCAGAGACTGATATTTAAATATGGATTTAACAATAAATAGGATAGGTGCTTCGATGGCGGACAGAAAGGTTAAGGCAAACAAGTTCACAACAGACATTGATTTGTGCAACAATCAAATCAAGAATGCGACATTCGAGTACTGGAACAGTACAATATTGCCGGGTGACAATCTCTTTGACGGCAAACTCGAGTATCTGCTTAAGGATATTTCATTCATATCTCCCGAAGGGGAACCGACCACATTCGAGAAAGGATCGATCATTCTGTGCAATCTGTGCTGCGATGGGAGTTACAAATGGGTCAAACTCCTCACCTCGACAAACGGTGAAGATATTGAAAAAGAAATTGTCGAGTTGTGGAAGAGCAAAACAGGGCACATTTACAATGCGCCGACAAAAGCGGTCGCGGACTCGTGGCTTGTTCCCGAATCGCACCAGTATATGGAAATGGACATTGTCATAATCGACGCCGACGAAACACACAACCTTTGCCGCACACTTTATGTCGGAGAATCATACAAGCCCGAAACCGAAGTGGGAAAGTGCGTCGAATGGAGGTTTGTCGGGATTATTAATGACAGTCCGAGAAAAGAAACCGCTCTCACCAACGGAACATCATACATCTCCAATGAAAAAGGGGACGAAGGCGCCTGCATAAAGTTCATCGGTTCCAACGGGACCACAAAATCGGGGATCGGAGTTCATGATGGCACCAGCCCCGGAAACAATGTCCTTGCTGAGATGTATGCGGTCGAAAACAAAACAGGTTCAAGACTTCTGGTCAGAAAGGATGGGATTTTCTACACAGTGGGTGATGGGACTACACCTGTTGCCCCGAAAGACGAAGTCGCAACACTTGGTGATATACAGGATGTTGGAAATGAATGTCTGGGGTTTGTCAACCACTATAGCGAATTGGTTACCAAACTTGAGGGCGCCGAGAAAGGGGATTATATCTATGTTCTGTCCGATGAAAACAGAGGTGCCATCGAACACGCGACCATATTCCCTTCGACAAGATACCATTGTGATATTGAAGACGGTGTTAAAAAATGGGTCTATTCATGCGACATAGGCAATGCGTGTATCAGACTTCTTGGAAACGAACAGGGAAGCGGAGAGCCGTATCATATCCCGTATAACATTTACCCTCCTGTTGCGGATGCCAACAAACTTCATGTCGAGTTTGACACGATCACTCTGGATAATAAGAGTACAAAGAAATCATATGCGGTTGATTTGGGTTCGGCAACACAGGATTCCGCGGGACTTATGGGTGCCGCCGACAAGAAAAAACTTGACACATTGGTAGACGACAATGTGATTGTTACCGATAAAGTGTGGTCTTCCAAAAAAACCAATGATACGATTGAAAGTAAAATACCTGAATTTACACCCGAACAATGGAACGCTATTAACAGTTTCCGTGCGACGATAGAAAGCGGAACATCCCTCCTCGCCAACCGTGCAGAGGACAATGGGGCGTGTATGAAGTTTGAGCATAATGACGGAACTTGGTCCGGTATTTCAGTCAGCAACCACGGTGCGGCGGGTATTGCGGCACAGATATATGCCGCCGACAAAGATACCAAGGTTGGGACACGCATCAATGTCACTAAAGACAAGATTTATTACACTGCGGGTCGCAATTCTTCGCAATATACAAACGATGATGAAATCGCCGTTGTCGGAAATACGCAGAAAAGGATAACCGATACCGAAACGGAAATTCCGATAACGGGTTGGAGAAATGTAGGAGGATTATACACAGTCAATGTTTCTGTCGAGGGAGTACAGATTGGCACATATCCGCTGGTCAGCACATATTTTGATGGCACATCCGTTGCAGAGTTAGAAGTACAGGAGGAAGCCGCAAGTCACATTCTTAAAGCAATCCCATTTGACGGAGGCATCACATTCTATGCAGACGCGATACCCGGTGTTAAAATACCGATTATCGTGAAGGTGATGTGATGACCGGACATTGCATATTAATCGGTTTCCGTGGGAAAGGTAAAAGTCCGACCCCAAGCGGAGAATACGAGAAGTGGGCTTTTGAAAATCTTGTATCAACAGGTGTTATCCCACCAAAAACCGACAGTGAGACTTATTATGAGTGGACTGTCAGAACTTTCTCAACCTCTCTCGATAATGTCCCAGAGCCAGTACCGCCTGAAACAACAGATCCAGACATATTGATTCAATGGGCAAAGGAGAACTTTGTGGGGGCTTAAAAATGGTAGAACATAAGCAGTTATACAACAATGGTATCGCAATTTATCCGGAAATCGACATTGCGGATGACCTTGAGACAAGCGATGTCAATAAGGCATTGTCCGCAAACCAGGGAGTTATACTCAACAACAAATTTGGTGAGGTCCATGCAGACATCGAGCAGATCTCCGGAAAGGTAGATCAACTTTCAGAAAAAGTTACGCAACTCGATGGTGATGTGGAACAGGTTGAAGCCAACCTTGAGACTGAAATTGAAACAAGAACCAGTCAATTCAACACATTACAGGACAATATCGCCGATATTGAAAAAGACGTCGGCGAATTGAAAGAAACCGTCTCCATGTTAAGTTCCGAAACCGCAAGTATTTTCAGAAAACTGACGGAACTCGAAAACAAGGTACTTACTGCGAGAGATCCGACAAACGGAGGGAGATGATTGGATGGCAACAATAAAACTTATCCAGGAAAACAAGGTGGACATCTATCCGCAGACGGACATAACCGCCGTTATTGGTCTCAATGAGGCATTAGGTACAAAAGTCGAGAACGCCGAGTTCACTGGGGAAATCGGACGCATTGAGGGAGAGATCGCGCTTAAAGCAAATCAAACCGATGTTGAGTCTGTGAAAGCAAAAGTTGATGAACATGGCAACACTCTGAATGAGATCAACGACAAAATCAACAATCAGATCCAAAGCGAGATTAATTCGTTGAATATAAATAAGCCGAATTACACCGAAACGGTCGCAGAAAAAGATATTGATGTAGCCGTTGTGGGTAAGACCGTTTTTGTGACTTTTGACCGCTATATAGAAGGCTCCACAAGTAATTATCATGTCCTGACAAATAACGTCCCAACGCCGAAAAAGAAGCCGTGTATGGTTAGCATAATGACTTCATTCAACAGTAAAACATATGCCGTGAGTATCGACGATAAAGGGGTACTAATCGCCACATTGGTAAATCAGCAGGCAACATTCGGTACAGACAGGATTAGTGGAGTATTTACCTATCTCGCGGAGTGAATATGGCAAAAATCAAGGTTATCCAAGAAAAAGGGGCAGATATTTACCCACAAACCTCAATGGAGGCAGTAAAGGGGTTGGATGCGGAATTAAATCTGAAAGAAGATAAGAGCAATAAAGTCCCGTCCTTCCAACCCGAACCCGATGATGATCACTATCCAAGCGAGAAACTCGTCGCAACCGAACTTAATAAGAAAAGCAGTGAGTACTCTGCGTTGATACCACTGCTT